TATTATTCATAGATAAACTTGATCATAAACCCACAATTCATCGGATCTCGACAAACACACCGCAAAAAGAGTTTACATCGAATAGATCTCCACAAGAGAGGGGGAGAACATTGTATTGAGATCCAAAAAGAGAGAAGAAGCCATCTAGCTAATAACTATGGACCCGAAGGTCTGTGGTAAACTACTCACAACTCATCGGAGGGGCTATGGTGTTGATATAGAAGCCCTCCATGGTCGATTCCCCCTCCGGCGAAGAGCCGACGAAGGCTCCAAGATGGGATCTCACGGATACAGAAGGTTACGGTGGTGGAAATTGTGTTTTGTTGGCTCCCTGGATGTTTTCGGGGTACGTAGGCTTATATAGGAGGAAGAAGTACGTCGGTGGTCGCCCGAGGGGCCCACGAGACAGGGGGCGCGCCCTATAGGGGGGGCGCCCTACCCTCTCGTGGCTGCCTCGGCTGCTTCTTGACTTGCACTCCAAGTCCTTTGGATCACGTTCGTTCCAAAAATCACGCTCCCGAAGGTTTCATTCCGTTTGGACTCCGTTTGATATTCCTTTTCTTCGAAATACTGAAATGGGCAAAAAAACATCAATACGGGCTGGGCCTCCTGTTAGTAGGTTAGTCCCAAAAATGATATAAATGTGTAAAATAAAGCCCATAAATATCCAAAAGGGGTAATATAATAGCATGGAACAATCAAAATTTATAGATACGTTGGAGACGTATCATGCACCAAGTAGAGATACTACTTGTGCTTCCAGATACCCTTAAACCTAGTTTTTCCATGAGAGTCCACCATACCTACCTATGGATTGAGTAAGATCCTTCAAGTAAGTTGTCATGTTGCAAGCAATAAAAAATGCTCTTTAAATATGTATGACTTATTAGTGCAGAGAAAATAAGCTTTATACGAACTTATTATGGAAGTAATAAAAGCGACAGACTGCATAATAAAGGTCCATATACAAGTGGCAATATAAAGTGACGTTCTTTTGCATTAAGATTTTATGCATCCAACCCTAAACGCACATGACAACCTCTGCTTCCCTCTGCGAAGGGCCTATCTTTTACTTCATGTTTTTACTTTATGCTTGAGTCAAGGTGATCCTCACCTTTCCCTTTTTCATTTTATCCTTTGGCAAGCTGCTCGTGTTTGAAAGATCTTGATACATATATCCAATTGGATGTAAGTTAGCATGAATTATTGTTGTTGAGATCACCTAAAGGTGAATACATTGGGAGGCAACACAATAAGCCCCTATCTTTCTCATTGTCCGGCTGAAACTCCATAACCACAAGTACTTCATGGGTGTTATTAATTGTAGAAGACTACATGATAGTTGAGTATGTGGACTTGCTGAAAAGCTCTATTCTTGACTCTTTCTGATGTTATGATAAATTGCAATTGCTTCAATGACTGAGATTATAGTTTGTTAGTTCCCAATGAAGTTTCTGAACCATACTTGACATTGTGAATTGATTGTTACTTGAGCATCAGAAACCATATGACAAAATCTATATATGTTGCTGTTATAAGAATGATCATGATGCCCTCATGTCCGTATTTTATTTTTATCGACACCTCTATCTCTAAACATGTGGACATATTTTTCGATTTGGGCTTCCGCTTGAGGACAAGCGAGGTCTAAGCTTGGGGGAGTTGATACGTCCATTTTGCATCATGATTTTGTATCAATATTTATTGCATTATGGGCTGTTGTTACACATTATATCTCAATACTTATGGCTATTCTCTCTTATTTTACAAGGTTTACCATGAAGAGGGGGAATGCCGGCAGCTGGAATTCTGGCTGGAAAAGGAGCAAATATTGGAAACCTATTCTGCACAGCTCCAAAAATCCTGAAACTCCACGGAAGTCAGTTTTGGAATTAATAAGAATTATTGAGCAAAAGAAATACCAGAGGGGGCCTACACCCTGGCCATGAGGGTGGGGGCGCGTCCACCCCTACTGGGCGTGCCCCTATCTCCTAGGCCCCCTGGTGGCCCTCCGGTGTCCATCTTCTGCTAAATGAAGGCTTTTACCCTGGCAAAAAAATCAGAGGCAAGCTTACAGGAGGAAACTCCGCCGCCACGAGGCGGAACCTTGGCGGAACCAATCTAGAGCTCTGGCAGAGCTGTTCTGCCGGGGAAACTTCCTTCCGAGAGGGGGAAATCATCACCATCGTCATCACCAACGATCCTCTCATCAGGAGGGGGTCAATCTCCATCAACATCTTCACCAGCACCATCTCCTCTCAAAACCCTAGTTCATCTCTTGTATCCAATCTTGTATCCAAACCACAAATTGGTACCAATGGGTTGCTAGTAGTGTTGATTACTCCTTGTAGTTGACGCTAATTGGTTTACTTGGTGGAAGATCATATGTTCAGATCCTTAATGCATATTATTACTCCTATGATTATGAACATTAATATGCTTTGTGAGTAGTTACGTTTGTTCCTGAGGACATGGGTGAAGTTTTGCTATTAGTGGTCATGTGAAGTTGGTATTTGTTCGATATTTTGATGAGATGTATGTTGTCTTTCCTCTAGTGGTGTTATGTGAACGTCGACTACCTGACACTTCACCATTACTTGCGCCTAGAGGAAGGCATTGGGAAGTAATAAGTAGATGATGGGTTGCTAGAGTGATGGAAGCTTAAATCCTAGTTTGTGCGTTGCTTCGTAAGGGGCTGATTTGGATCCATATGTCTAATGCTGTGGTTAGGTTTACGTTAATACTTCTTTTGTAGTTGCGGATGCTTGCATTAGGGGTTAATCATAAGTGGGATGCTTGTCCAAGTAAGGGCAGTACCCAAGCACCGGTCCGCCCACATATCAAATTATCAAAGTACCGAACGTGAATCATATGAGCGTGATGAAAACTAGCTTGACGATAATTCCCATGTGTCCTCGGGAGCTCTTTTCTCATTATAAGAAATTGTCCATGCTTTTCCTTTGTTACGAAAAGGATTGGGCCACCTTGCTGCACTTTATTTATTTTCATTGCTTGTTACCCGTTACAATTTATCTTATCACAAAACTATCTGTTACCTATAGCTTCAGTGCTTGCAGAGAAAACCTTACTGAAAACCACTTATCATTTCCTTCTGCTCCTCGTTGGGTTCGACACTCTTACTTATCGAAAGGACTATGATAGATCCCCTACACTTGTGGGTCATCAGTCACTAGGGCCCGAGTGCCATGATTTCAGATCTGAACCTATTATGTTTTCATGAATATATGTGAGTTCTTGATCCTATCTTGCAAGTCTATAATCACCTATTATGTGTTATGATCCGACAACCCCGAAGTGACAATAATCGGGATACTTCTCGGTGATGACTGTAGTTTGAGGAGTTCATTTATTCACTATGTGTTAATGCTTTGGTCCGGTACTCTATTAAAAGGAGGCCTTAATATCCCTTAGTTTCCACTAGGACCCCGCTGCCACGGGAGGGTAGGACAAAAGACGTCATGCAAGTTCTTTTTCATAAGCACGTATGACTATATTCGGAATACATGCCTACATTACATTGATGAATTGGAGCTAGTTCTATGTCACCCTATGTTATAACTATTACATGAGGAATTGCATCCGACATAATTATCCATCACTGATCCAATGCATACGAGCTTTTCACATATTGTTCTTTGCTTATTTACTTTACCATTGCTACTGTTACAATTACTACAAAACTGCTATCGTTACTTTTACCATTGTTACCATTACTATCATACTACTTTGCTACTAAATACTTTGCTGCAGATACTAAGTTATCCAGGTGTGGTTGAATTGACAACTCAACTGCTAATACTTGAGAATATTCTTTGGCTCCCCTTGTGTCGAATCAATAAATTTGGGTTGAATACTCTACCCTCGAAAACTGTTGCGATCCCCTATACTTGTGGGTTATCACCTAACGGACAAAAAGCGGAAGCGCGTCTGTTTGGGTCGACACGTTGGGCCGACTTTTTTGTCCGTTCCGACCCAAACGGACACGCGCACACGAAATGGGCCGACACGTTGGAGTTGCTCTAAGGGCATATCCAAGTTGTACCCTCGAACCGCAATCATCCAGACTATCGTCCAGACGCGGTTTGTCATCCAGCGCGGGCATGTATTGGTTCGTCGAGTAGTCCAGGTATACTTTTTAAGGTAAACTCGAGACAAACAGGGGGCTTTGCGGGAGTCCGAAAAGCATCCACATACGACTCCGACACCCTCGGCCCAGCCAAAACCCTTCGCGAACCCCGCTCCTCCATCCTCCTCATTTTGTATCCTTCCTTCTTTCTCTCTTACCTTCGGCGCTGCGCTACCACCCCGGCTGCTAGACCACACTAATGACCCACAAGTATAGAGGATTAATCGTAGTTCTTTCGATAAGTAAGAGTGTCAAACCCAACGAGGAGCAGAAGGAAATCACAGGCGGTTTTCAGTAAGGTATAACTACTGCAGGTTGTTGCTAACGCGACACTACGACCAGAGACCCTTCGAGAAACTGTGTGCAATGCAATAATCGCAAACGATGCTGTATGAAAACCGTCAGAAATGATGCAAAACATTTGCAATGAATGATACATCAAACACGGTTCAGGTTATAGTTGCGTGTGCGATGAGGGGCATACGGTTGATCTATACGAACTGTTTGCGATGAGATAGAACAACAGAAATGGGCAGCTGGATCAAGGTGTGTGCGATATACGACATATAGTTCATTCCGATGATCCGTTTGCAATGAGTTAGTTGAACACAAACGATTTGGCGTAACAAGATGTGTGTGTGATACCCGACAAACAGGTCGGTAATCAAAATTGTGTGCGATCATTATAGACAACCCATACAGTCTTTTTTTGTGAATTGTGTGCTCGTCAGGGCAAACAGTTCAACAAACCAGCCTGTTGGCGATAATGTAGAAGATCTCTGTCGAATACATATTACTAACCGTCTGCGATGAGATTGGCAGGATAAACAAAGATATATACAGTCTGCTTAATTTAGTCCTTCTTCTTGTTGTTGTTCTTGTTGGATGGCCCCGCGACATCGTCTCGGTGAGGACGCTTCTTGCCGCTGACCGTTGGCTTTTCATCGCCGCCACCGTCGTCATCGCCGTTGCTGTCGTCGTCCTCCTCCTCCTCGTTCGACCATTCCTCCTCCTCATCATCGTCGTCCTCTTCTTCATCCTCCGACGGCTCCTCGTCCATCTGGTTTTTGACTGACGACTCTGGAGGTGGCGTCCCTTACATGAACCGGATAAAATCAAGGTCTGGGCTCAACACCGGACTCATGGAAGACGAGCAGGATGATTCCAATGTTGACTATCATCAGGCGCCAGACTGCTGGCTGAACTGTCATCCTTGCTATAGGTCGACATGGCTGCAGAGTGTGTGGCAGTGTGTAGCATGGCCTGCCGGGCACGATGAAGATGGTGGGCACTTGAGCGGGGTATGCAGAGAAGAGGAACTGCCAATTGAAGCGGGGGTTGATGTATTATCTAATCGCTGATATAATCAACCGCAATTATTTGTACGTAGTCGCTCCAAATTCCCGGGGTTGTGCATGACTCCTATTGGCTAATTGGCTGGTTTCCTTTTTTAGGACAAAAACAAGGAACCAATTTTGGGATTATGCACCGGTACCGATACGAACGGAGTAGGACAGTTGGCAAGCAATACATTGAGCTCTTCTTATTGATAAATCCAGTAATAATCAAACTAGAAAGGAAAAGAAAAAAGAAAAGAAAAATATCTGCACGAATTTTCGCGTAACATCAATGGCATAGGACCTAGATGTGCATTACTTAGAGCACATATAGATGTGCTTTAGCAAGACTGTTAAACAAAACCCCTAATCATCATTACAAACAGCGCATAAAACATGGCTAATGCGACAACCACAACTACACATGCTAGTTCCTTCTTGTCTCTTGCTTTCATCCGTTGCCTCTGATTGATTCTTTCTTGCTTCATCATACTGATTGTACATTCCAGATCAGCCAATTTCTTCTTCAACTTTACGTTATCTTCTGCCAGCTTGGTGATAACACTCCGAGCCCTGCCATGCCATTCTTCATCCAGGCAGTTAACAAAGGCACAAGCCTCATATCCCTGCCAATGTTAAATAGTATTCTGGATGAGCGGTGGCATTAACTGAAGCAAAATGATGAACTTAATTAGCACTAACCTCTAAGGGGCAACTGAGAAACCACCTACCAATGTCGAATCCCTCCGTGCATACACATTGAGCGGGAGTGTACCCGTGCACACAACTTAACTTTTGGTACTTCTCGGTGGCGCAAAACTCGGAGTCGAACTCGTGTTGCGGGAGTCTGGAGTCAAGCTTCGGATCCGACGACAGACCGCTTTCCTAGGGGGGTATCATTCCAGACGGATTCATTAAGGATATATACTTTGGACATGCTAACAAAGATCAGGATAGACTGCAACCTGACAGGTTGATTCAGATCCGTAGTACACCTGCCTTCTGATGATCTTAGGCAAGTGCTCGATGGCTACCGCCGTCGTGGTGGCCTTACGAGCAGGAGCATCCGCACCAAAACCATCAGCACCACTCGTCTGCATTCCCCCAATGTCAGCGCCACGCGAAGGAATTTGGAGGCTATGTAGAGATTTGGGGGAAATGGGGGAACTATGGCGATAAGCTAACGGTCGGGAACTACTAATGGCACTATATATATGTTTTATACGGCACACTGTTTGTACATGTCGTTTGTATTAGGTATGACAATGTCACACATGATTTCCGCACCAAACCGTGTGAGAAGACAATGTAGGTTAGACACGCTTGCCGTTACATAACCGTATGTGATGTACTACCCAGTCCATATAATTGAGTTACGATGAGATACCGTGTAAACAGCCGCTCTGCGGATATCCGTAAAAAAAACCAGCCGCTCTGCATATAGAGATGGCGGTGGCGGCCTAGGCAACGACTACCGGAGAAGAGGTCAATCCTCGGTCGATGGGCAGTGGCGGCTGTTAGTGTCAAAACCGGCGGATCTCGGGTAGGGGGTCCCGATCTATGCGTCTTAGGCTGATGGTAACAGGAAGCAAGGGACACAATGTTTACCCAGGTTCGGGCCCTCTAGATGGAGGTAAAACCCTACTTCCTGCTTGATTAATATTGACGATATGAGTAGTACAAGAGTAGATCTACCACGAGATCATAGAGGCTAAACCCTAGAAGCTAGCCTATGATGATTATGATTGTAGTTGTGATCGGCCTTCTAAGGACCAACCTCTCTAGTTTATATAGACACCGGAGAGGGCTAGGGTTTAAATGGAGTCAGTTACAAGGAAGGAAATATAATATCCGGATCGCCAAGCTTGTCTTCCAAGCAAAGGAGAGTCCCATCCGGACACGGGACGGAGTCTTGAGTCTTGTATCTTCATGCTCCAATAGTCCGGATGATGTATATAGTCCGGCTGTCCGGATACCCCCTAATCCAAGACTCCCTCAGTAGCCCCTGAACCAGGCTTCAATGACGATGAGTCCGGCGCGCAGTCTTGTCTTCGGCATTGCAAGGCGGGTCCCATCTCCGAATACTCCAAAGTATTTATCGAACACTTAAACCGTGTCCGGATCCGCATAATGATCTTCACATACCACCGTAGAGAGAATGATATTTCACAAATGCAATCTGGTGACAACTTTTTAGACAACGCGAGATGTCCTTACGGTCGGGTCATTATTCGAATCGTTTTCCCACATCCAGCCACAACGCATATTGCGAGGCGGTTTCCTTGACACATCTTGTCAAAGCAGAGATCATGTCCCCTTATCACGGGATTCTCATCAATACGGGTATGGGTAATCCCACCATGCCATCAATCGTGGCGCTTGGGAGGTAAGCGATTCTCAACGGGTAAGTGGGGAGGCACACCGGTTTTGAAGCCTCTTATAAAGGGATAAGAGTTCCCCATTTTTACCCACGCCTTCTTCCTCCTTTGTCCACTCTTGCCCCCTCGAGCTCTAGCGCCCAAGCCCAAGTCTTCTCCGCACAGCTAAACATGTCCGGAGCAGGAGGCAAGTGGGTGGCTTCCATCGTGAATGAGAAGCATATCACGAATCTTCGGGTGGCCAGATACTTTGCCGCAGACATCACGCACTGGCTACCAGACAAAGGGCAGGCCATTCTAACCCCGGAACCTCACGAGAGGGTTGTGTTTGTCGCCCACTTCGTCCGTGGACTGGGATTTCCACTTCATCCCTTCGTCCGCGGGCTCATGTTCTACTACGGGCTAGATTTCCATGATATATCCCCAAATTTCGTCCTCAAAATCTCGGCGTTCATCGTCGTATGCGAGGCCTTCCTCCGCATCAAGCCTCACTTCGGCCTGTGGCTGCAAATCTTCTGCGTGAAGCCAAAGATTGTGAGCGGCCAACAAGTGGAATGCGGAGGGGCCATGGTGGGCAAGATGCCTAACGTCACCTAGCTTGAAGGCTCCTTTGCAGAGACCGTGAAAGGGTGGCAGTCGGGGTGGTTCTACATCACCGAGCCGCGCGGTGCCAACTGGGCAGCGGCCCCCGAGTTCCGATCCAGAACCCCCATGCGGCTCACCTCCTCGGAAAAGAAGAGCCTAGCCTGGGGCGAACCTACAGAGCTGACCGGACTCCAAAACTGCATCAAGAGCATGAAGGACAAGAACATCAAGCTTGTCAACGTGATCTAGGTCATGCTTGTTCGCCGGATTCTTCCGTGCCAAAGACGGGCATTCAATCTGTGCGAGTTCGTCCCGGCCGAACACCAGACGCTTCGAAAGCTCTATGACATGACGCACAAAGGCGCATGGAAGGTGTTGTTCAAG